TTTGGCATAATCTTGAACCTAAGTGTTTGATATTGAAATTTCGCTTTCTGGGCCAAAACTATTCGAATTTCCTCACTCACGTTGTTACGACTGAATCGACTTCTATCTCCGATCTAAAACTTCTTGAATTCAAGCATTTTTGGAGAAAACTGCAACATTTCCTTATCGATGGTTCACTTTCTAAAAAGGCCATTTAGTTCTCTTTGGAATGATGTAAAAATGAGCGTTCTTGCTCATTGTGCTTCCGAGAAACATGCAAAACGGGACGGAAATCATGAAATTTTGCAATAATCTTACGCCTCCCTTGCACAAAACGACGATAATTTTTATAATTTCATAGACAACAGAAGACTGTATTTATTCTACATCCCCCCCTTAATTTAAAGCTGGATCCGCCCCTGTAAGCAAGTTTTATTTGGACAACAATTATATATGATGTTCACTGTGTGAACTCCAATTCAAAAATGGTTTTTCTTGCAACCGTCTTGGGTTGGTTTCGAAGCTGCTTCTTGTAACCATTTCTAAAGTATCAAATTATCATTGTACTGCATAAATAGGTTAAAACCGTGCCGTTTTACAGAATTAAATCGCTTTGAAGCCTTGCAGTAATATGAAGACAAAAGTTCCGTTTATGCCGTTTTCAAAACAGCTGCGTTCTCAAATAATGTGATGATGAAAGTATGAATTATGCCTGCTTTGAATGTTTGACATTAAACAAGTACTTTTGTTGATAAATTGTTGGTACAATTGTTCTGTTCCTTGGCAGGCCAAAATCGCCTCAAAGTCGTCGGCGACTGTGTTTTACAACCTTTCCTTTTTAGCGTTCGAACTTCCGCTTCCAATTTTCATTGGCCAACCACTATTTTAGGCTTGTCGTAGCTTAATATTCAATATTGTTGCCAATCAAACGCATCGATGCGATGTTTACTTTTAAAATAACTCTTCCTGGTTTCGCAGCCGTTTTCAAAGAAACCCGAACCAATTATTGTTGACTTTTTCAACATGTTTTCGATTCCGCAGTTCATTACCTCTAATTACGTTAATGAGGTCTTAATTTCGATTTAACTAATATTCTAATGCGTTCAGATAATTAGGCGAAATTATCCGGCGGCTACACAGGAAAAACATGCTCCGATTAACGGTCATCTTCAGTTGCATCAGCCTGGTAAAATGTCGAAAAACATAGAAACGCGAATGATAAGCGCTAAAATTAACTGTTGGGCGCGCTTTGAAATTTCAATCACGTCCAACCTTTGATTGGTTATAAGGTCTGGGCTATTCAATCGGGGTTTATACCCATCTAGATATGGATAGGCAGTAAGTTCAAGGGCAGCATGTGGCCAGTTGCACGATTTTAGATAATCGCTTAATAGCATTTGATAAGGAAAGTCACCAGATGTCAGTGTTATAGTGTATTTGTGGTTAGGTTTGAAATTGTGCTCTTCAAAAGTTCAACTGTACAACAAACTCACACACGATGAGTTTTTTGTTTGTTCTGAAAACTGAGACTGAAATCGATTTTTCACTGATGAATTACTATTGAAAGTCCCAAAACGTTCCTGGAAATTGCCTCAATTTTTTTTTGTTTTCTCTGGAAATAACTGTGAAACTACGACCTATTCAACTTTCCAAAAGTTTTGAAAATTGCCTGAGGATGACTGGAAATCGAAACTTTTCACACTGGTAGTACAAACTTTGCCTTACAAAATAGTAGTATGTAAAAGCGACTTTCTTACTTAGTTAGTTCTTGAGTGAGTAAATTCCAAACTCCGCACTGCAAAAACAACCTCACAAACTAAACCAAATTTGCCAAAATTGTCAAACACGGCCGGAGGATGACTGAAAATTGAAACGTTTTGCACTTATTGAGTAGACTTTGCTCTACAAACTATGACCTGCCTAAATAACCGCAAAAACCCATTCGACTTTGGAAAATGTTTGAACTCTGCCTGATGATGATTGAAAATCGCGACTTGTCCAGTTTTAGAGCATACTTTTCCTCCAGACTACTTAATGACTTTGCCATGCTATTCGTGTTTCAAACATGTTCAGCATTGATGACTCCTTTGTTAAATGGTGTTTCTTTGTTACCTCCAGAGCTCCAATGCAGCATGTCCAGCCAGGTGAAGTACCAAGTGTTGGCCTACTGGGGCGTGAACATCAAAGAGCTGCACATTTTCCTGTGGAGGCCATGGGCGGATATCCGAAACGCATGTGCAGGTGGCGACTTCCTCAAAGGCTACTATCAGTACCTGGGAATTCAGCTCGAGTAGGTAACTTGCACGGCTTGTGGTTGGTGTTAATGGGGCCATTTGCAGAAGAACGCCCCATCCGGACCAAGTGATGACTTTGAACTACAATGGGAAAAAAGCTCTGGATTTGGGCACACCGCCGCGACTTTGCTATCCGTTGGTGATTTTCCTGATTCGGAACGACATCGATGGAAACGTCCATCCAGATGAAACAGTTAGTGAACCAAACATTTAACAAACTAGAATACGAAACTAATGGGTTTTTCGGGTTTTTAGGTCGCCGTTCGGTAGAATTTCTTCTTGACGTTTAAGTTCTGCGGAAGAACTGATCGGGTTCTGATGAGAACAGTGTAAGCGTTCAAGCAAACCACTTCTGAAGATGCAAGCCACTCGTGCTTGCGAAAC